CCATCAATTTACAGAAATTGGTAGTTCCTGTTCCAGGACGTAGAATGGTGCTCCATGCTGCCCCCTAGTGCTGCACTCTCAGTGTTGCGTGTGACCTTAACCGTTCTGGTACAGACCTGTTCTCTTCTCTGTTGAGATTTATCTCTGTCTTGAACTCAGCTGGTCCCATCTGGTCAAGGCAGAGAAATGAGATCCTCCTGGACTACATTTCAGGAACCAGCCACCCAGAAATATACAATATATTCTTTGTGTCCTATTCCATTGGGCCGTTCCAGACGTCATTAAACAATGAACTCATTTTACAGTTGGGGAGAGCTTGAAAATGTAGGTAGTTTCAAAATACCACGTTACTTTCACTTAATTCTTCTCTTTTTTTTGCAGTAACTAACATGTTACTAAATACCATTATGTTTGCAACATAATAAGAGCAAAACATGAAGTAAATGAATAACAAATTACCTTTCACTAGTTAGTTTGGGGGACCATGAGGGCATTACAGTTACATTTTAAATGCAATGTGATAGATAGGATTAAAGTTCCTCTAATGGTTCAGTGAGTAATACTTTATTTTAAAAACAAATGTCCTTTAAAGAGCATTTAAATGCATGTTAGAGACATCTTAAGCAGCATTTTAAAGTTTAATGCCATTCTCTAAGGTATTTGCTTAGGCAGCTAACAACACTGAAAGACAATATTCAAAGCTGAAAATATTAAGTATGCAACAGTGTTTAACATTAAAAAACAATATTAAAGCAAAGAACAAAAGTATACAAATATTTTAAAAAGTAAAACCAATGGAGAAATGGAAATAACAAAAATGGAAAACACAAGTAGTACTAAAAATCCAGTCAAAGCAGTAAAAATAAAAATAAAAACCTTTTTAAAAGGAACAACTGCAAGCATACAGCAAGCAACATGACAAACTGTTTTGCAATACCATAGGACATAATAACAACGGGCTAATTATCAAAACATTGTAATAAATAATGGGAATACTTGCATTTGAAAAGTAATTTTTTCAAGTTTTGAGTAAAAGATAATTTCATATTTGAAGAGTAACTCTAAAAGGCATATACATGGGGGCTGTGCCTTTACCACTCACTGGTTGCTCACAGTTTTTAACAAATGTATAAAAAGTGAATATAAAGTAACTAAAACGAACATTAGTTACATTCCGATATTGCAATAATGAAGCCGGGAAGAGGAACACATGGCCTTCTGGATGTTGCTTGACTACAACTCCCATCAATCCTAGCCAACATAGCCCATGGTAGGAATTGTTCCAATATCTTTTGGCGGGACCCGTGTTTTCCATCTCTGCAGTAAAGAGTAACTTCTTAAAAATTTTTAACTGTAATGGCAGCTAAATAATTTTTAAGCTGTGGAACTGAAGTTGCCACCAACCGCTTGCTAAAGACAACTTTAAGACGGTCATCCAGTTTTTGGAAATTTTAACCCATTAATCAGGTGCTTGTAGACCAACACAGGCCCTCGGACAGAGCAAAGCTTCCTTTCAGGTTGACCGCCAGGGCGCTGGCCACAAGGATGGCATTAGGAATGGCATTCTGCCCATGCTCCACTCTCTTAAGAGACCTTCACAAGCTCTGGCGCCAAATCCTGGTGTTGACCTAAATGTAGTCAAGAGTTGTGTAGTACTGTACATACATGGGACTGAAAGGGCAGGAGAAATTCCCTAACCCCAACTTGCCTCTCTCAGGGTGTGTTGGGCTTGTTTGTTTGTTTGTTCAGTCGTTTACGAGTTGTGTAGTACATACATGGGACTGAAAGGGCAGGAGGAATTCCCTACCCCCAACTTGCCTCTCTCGGGGTGTGTTGGGCTACAATGCACATTATACGAAGCCAACATGCTTGCTGGATGTGCCGGCTGAGAATGATAGGATTTGTAGTCCAACACCCCAGCCAAGTGCCAAGCCCAGAAAGCCTTCCTTTCTTTTTGCTTTTTTCAAGTAAGGTATGTTAGTAAATCACAACAGCCCGAATATGACAGAACACAAACACACACACCCGAGTAAACTGTGGGAGGAGGTAGATCTGGCTTGGGGTGGGGTGCAGCAAGAATTTAAGCCGCCAGGGAAAAAAAGGGGGGGGTCAATCTAAAGCATGGTTCTGTGATTAAATAAGCTGCTTAGAATAATAACAACAAACAGCTTCTGGACATCTAAAGGCGCTCTCTGTG